AATTAAAAAACCAAAGGAGAAATTTTTAAATGAATTAAATTTTATTTTTATTTTTTTAAATGCACATATTTTAATTAAAGTTGATATTTTTAATTCCGACTGATTGAGAGTTTGGATACCCCTGTTATTCCAAACGCCACAAAAACCAATCCACTCCAACCATAGAAATAATAATAATTATAATAATTATTTCTATATGACTCCAACACGACATCGGACTCCAACACGACATCGGACTCACATACGTGATTGTACCGCCATCTAGCGACAGAATTAGTTTGGAATAGCAGGGGTGTCCAAACTTTCAATCTGAATTAAAAATATTAAATTCAATTAAAAATAACTGCTTATTTTAAAAAATTAAGATGAATTAAAAATATCTCCTATGATATTTTTAATGCATTTAAAAATTTCTCCTATGACATTTTTAATTTAGCTAATTAAAAATATGTGTTTAACAAAAAAATATAAATATAAAAAGCAAATATTTTAAATTAAACAAATACAAAATATCAGTTTGGCATACAAATTAAATCTAATTTTTAATTTTCGAATTAAAAATGTGTATTTAACAAAAAAATATAAATATAACAAACAGATACTTTTAATTTACTAAATTAAAAATATCAGTTCTGGATAAAAATTAAATATAATTTTAAAATATCTGCTATGATATTATTAATTAGCAGAATAAAAATTCTTATGTGATATTTTTTATCCAATTGACAATACAATTCATTAATATTAGAACCAATAAAATGCCAGTATTCCATAGTGACGTATTTTATCACAGCGGCAATAATTTTTATCATCTTGTTTACACGTTACTAAGAATTTTGACACTTTTTTCTGTTGTCATTTAAATTCTGTATTTGATATAAATCAATAAAATAATGAATTATAAACTCTAAAAGATCGATGGGTTGGTGTAAACGATAATGGAATTAAGGTAAGTTTGAATAAATAAGGTTTATTAAAGTCTTTTTATATTTTAAATCACATTTTAATTTTAAATGTCAATCTGACAAATTTTTTAATTCCTAAAATTCATTATATTTTCTCACTAAATATAACTCGTGGTATGATTAATAATCGAAGATATTAACTCATTGAAACCGAAGCAGCACATTTCACTCGTCCTGCGGACTCGTGAAATCTGCAGCTCGGTTTCAATTCGAAAATATCATCGATGATAATCATACCACTTGTTATATTATGGGTGAAAATATCACCCATAAAATTAATTTCTGTAAAAAGCCAAATCTTTAATAATAAAATTCTTATGAACAAATTTTTATAAACATTAAAAACTAAATAACCGGATTTCTGGAATAACAATGTTGGCCTTGAAATGGGATTTTGACATTTGACAGAATGATTTAAAAACCTTTTGTTTTAGGTGCTTTTAATCAATAATTATAACTAATTTAATTAATTTTGATAAAGCAAACCTATTTAATAAAATATAACAATTAAAATATTTTTATAAATATAATAAAGTGGGGTGTATTGTTAATAACCACGTGTTAATTAAACGATCCACAAAAGGATTAGTGATTATATTTATAAAGGATAATAAATAGAAAATTTACAGAGAAAAATCTAAACAAAGAAACGGCGTTGGTAAATAATTAATATTACATAGGTTTTCCAAGAAACATAATTCGTGTATAAAAAATTAAGGATCAACCTAGGAAAACAATTGAAAGTCAAAGTGGCGGCCTACTTAAAATTAAAAGGGAAAAATCCTTTCAAAACAAATAAAATGACCCGCAAAAAACGCACAAGTAAAACTTACATTTTCCGTCGATTCCCGTCCCAACAACAAAACCGGCAAAACAACGACACAGGAAAACTTACTGGGCACCAAACAAAAGAGGTAAAAACAAAAGTCCGGCGTTAAAACAAAACCGGATCGGCGACCGATTCTTTTCTGTTTTTCTGTCAGCTGAAAGACGCCATGGCCGTCGGCGGCGTCGAGACGTAAAATAATCAATAAACCGTGGAACGATAGCGAAAGTCGGGCGCCCGTTGCATGGCAACCCCTCAAATATATCCTCCGTTTCCAGGGCCGGAGCGAGCAAGCGTGGCCTTGACACCAGAACCCTCCCGGAAATACAGCACAAATGTATATGTTACGGCTAATGTGCAAACTTGGATAGTTTATAAACTAGCTGGATAGTTTATAAACTAGCCAAACTGTCAGCTATTTTAATTGAAAATGTATTTTCAACTAAATTAGCGGCTAGTTTACAAAATAACCAAGGATCTTGGCTAATTTACTTGAAATTATTAGGGAAACTAAAATAGCAAAAACCCAACTAAAATGGGCAATAGCCAGAGAATTGGTTGGTTAGTTTACAAACTAGCTAAAGCTTGTCTATTTTGTGTTACTAGAAATTTTGGTTTTCATATTAGCCAAACTAAATTGGATAGTATACAAACTATCCAGCTATTTTAGTTTCCCTAATAATTTCAAGTAAATTAGCCAAGATCCTTGGTTATTTTGTAAACTAGCCGCTAATTTAGTTGAAAATATGTTTTCAATTAAAATAGCTGACAGTTTGGCTAGTTTATAAACTATCCAAGTTTGCACATTAGCCATAACATATATAAATTTAATTTGAAAACTTTGTTATTATTTATTTTAAGAAAAAATGTTATTCCTCATAAAAAGTTCTGCATGTTCTAAAATCTAAAATACAATCATTAGATATAAAAAAAATTCATCGTTTGTCAAAAAATATAAATCTTGCTCAAGAGTAAAATACCTTTATATTTAACAATATCAAAAATTCTTAATAAAAAAAGCTACGTTCAAATTTGCAATTACTTTCATTTACATGAAAAAAATCATTTTTTATTTTTTGTTTACAATAAAAATGCAAATGTAACTGTAATCTAGGATGCATTGACAAACAAATGATTTTTTGATAGCAAGAAATGTTTGACATTGAATGTCAAAACATCAGAATTTGCTTATTACTTTCTGAATGGAACGGAAAGGTTATCATGTTTGTAATAAATAAAAAAGATAAATGTTCGGTATCAATAATTTGAGAAAAAATTGTAAAAAAAAATGTTTAGATAGAAGTTTTTTCCCAGGTCTTGAAAAATTGTCTTTTCATGGGAAAAATTATTTTTTTTAGGAAAGTATACACATTTGAATAAATATCCTTTATTACAGAAAAAATATTGAATTAAATTAGGTAAATTGATTTAAGAAAATATTATTTTTTTTATATTCTATATTTATTTAAATATATTTATTTTTTTATAACGTAATCGTTAAATATATCGATGGTTATTTGACAAAACATCGTAAGCGACAATTTTGTTGAATTACTTTTTATTTTATCAAAGTGTCAGTTACGATAAGCTGCACATGTTAACATAATAGTTATTCCAATTTTGGAATCTAATATTCGTCAGTTTGAATATTTTTATTATTGTAAGCGCCTCTTCTTTTTAATTTGTTACCGATTTATAACGTAAGCGCCTATATGTTCCCGACAAACAGTCGTAAGCAACTCCGAGACATGGCGTTTGCGATTTAACATTGTGTCGCTTACGATAATATTGTGCTCCCTCCTTGATCTATCAAGGCGTTATTCCCGCTCTAAACAGTTTGTTCGTAAGTATACCTGCATCGTGGTGATTGCTACCACAATCCACAATGTGGATTGTCATTGCTACCAAGTTTTAAAACAATATTTTATTTGATCAAAAGCTTATAATTCCTTTTTATCATTGCAATATTAATAGTTATCCTAATTATAATTGTTTTTACGTAGTGTGGTTCGTTAAAAGTGGTTTTTTGTAATTGTATGCATACATGTTGTTATAACGTCAAATAATCGACTCAAATAATCGACTCAAATTTATAACGGTACAATGACGGCCAAAAAATTTCGAACGACCTGTCATTCAGTTGATTTTAAAATGTAAAACTGCCTTTAGTGCCAACTAACCTTACTTTCTGAAAGTTGTCAGTTTCACGTATTTCATTGTTGATTGTGTTGTTTTAAGATTAGATTCTCTGTCTACTTTTTGAAACTGCTTGTCATCTTGTCAAAAATGTCCCTAAGGGTTGGTTTGCACAGACATTTTTTTAAATGACAGAAGTTTGATGTTCGAAAATGTAACTTAAGCGACAAGACTAATTTTACATTTTCCTAAAGATGTTCTTATAAAATATCGTATGCCACAAAATTTAATGAAAATTTTAGATTGGATTTGATCTAACTTAAATATTTGAATTCTACATTAATAAAATAATGCCTCATCAGTTTTCAGATAAATAACTTTAAAAATAAAGCTCCCGCACAAAAAAAATCTCTCCTGTAAAATTTAGGTTTTGTCGCTTACGATGTTTTGTCAAATAACCATCGATATTGTTGGTTGGTATCCAATTACAAAATAATAAATGATTTATAAAGTTAAAAGTACGGATATCATCAATTATCATATTACCCATTACTTAAAATAAAAAAAATGCAAAATTTCACAAATTTTTAATTTTTTTTTCTGAAAAAAAAAAACCGTTTTTTTCCGCCGGCTCAATTTTACGGAAATTTTAAAACACTAGTTAGGAGCGGATAAACAAAATTAAGCAAGATGAAGAAAAAATACAAGAGCTTAAAAATTTTATTTTTAATAACTTTTTTTATTAACTTTAACACCATGTATCTCTAAAATAAAGTTTTAAAGCATATTTTGGCGAGTTCTATCACTATTAAATTTTTTAGATTAAAATAAACCAAATTATTTAGATATGCACATAATTTACTAATATAACTATATTATTAACAGTATAATTTAGATTATTATATTGGTTAAACATAAGCATATTTAGTCTAAATAATTTAGTTTATGTCTTTGTAAACTTCTTAAAATTTGCAAATTCCTCATAAATCAAACTTAATTTTATTCGAGTTCGGCCCTGTCCAAATAGTGCATCGTACCTACTATACCAACAAAAATATTTGCAAAATTCTCACCTTGTCTTCCGCCTCTTCTGCGCGTCCTTCCGCCTCCAGGACCCTCTGCTCCAGCTCGGAGAGCTAAAATAAACAAAAAAAATTAAATTAGAATCCTAAATTAAAAAAATACACACAAAAGCAAAATTTACCCTCTGAAACCCCCAGCGTCACCCATCGAGATTCAGGGTAACTAACTGGTAGAGAGTTTCACGGGGTGACACATAGATGGCGCCAAAGTAAAACCCTCTATATTTGGTAAGTTAGTTAGTTAAGTAAATGCATAGTAATTCGATTATTGTTATTACTTTTACGTAACTTTATAATATAGTTATGTACACTAAATGTTTAATATTTATTATCATTAATTATGGAAGCTTCATTTTCCTTTATAGTCTTGAAAATATGAATGTGTATTCGGTGTTGCATAGCCTTAGGTTGTTTGTTTTAATTTATACAATTTCAGGAAATTTGTTTGTATTTAATTAATATGTCAAACTTTTGAGTGCTTTTGTTGTGGAAAATTAATTATATTAGTTTGCATATACTAATAATAATAATAATAATTTTATTTCCAAAATAACATTTAAATGTGTTAAATGAATAAATTGCTTTACATTTTTTTTATTTTAAGTGGAACATGATTATACAATTTAATTGACATTATCATAGGGCTCTGGGCTGTAAGACACATGTCATGTTATGGGAATTAATTTTAGTTGATATGTCTTAAATTGTAGAAAATTTAAGTCAAGTGAACCTTACAATATTTTAGAACTCGACCAAATGTACAAAATGTACAAGGACACTACTGTTATTATTCCAAGCTCGTTAAATAATTTTTTACATGAGTTTAAACATTATTGTTCTTATGATTCTTTTTTGACTCCTTAAAACATCTATAGCTTTATAAGAAAACAATGCCATAACTAAGTAGAGAATTAATGTGGCATAATAAAAACTTTTTATTGTTTAAATTGGGATGATATCCCTTAAATGATATAATACAAAACATTTTGATGAGACTTTTTTTTAATAGGTTTTCAATGTGGACATGCCATCTAAGTGACCAGTCAACAAAGACGACCAATGATTTAACATTTTTGTTTTCCTTAACCAAGTCATTATCCAAGTAAATCGAAAGAGATGGACAGAATCTTAGAATTTCAGTTTTAGATTTATTTAAAAACAATTTGTTGGCATTACAAAATGTTTTCATACAATCAGTACATTTTTCTGCCATTTTTTAAAGATCTACACTGAAGCCAATAGTAACTACAGTATCGTCTGCAAATAGTGATAGCAAAATATTGTTAATTGAAAAGTAGTTTTCAATGTCATAATAAATATGAGGAATAAAATTGGTACTAAGGTACTACCTTGAGGAACTCCGATTAAAACATTTCTCAACTTAGAACAGTGGCTCTTGCCTTTTATGTTCAAGACAACCTCCCGTTTAAGACAACTTGACAACCAATTAAGTGGTGTGCCCCTTATACCTAAGGCATACATTTTCTGAATTAACAATTCATGATTAACCATGTCAAAGGCACAAGTTAAATCAAAATAAATACAAGCAACTTTATAACCTTTTTCTAAATTGAGTAATAAAAAGTTATATTTAGATAATAAAGCATCACCTGATGTTCTTACATCTCGCCTCTGTTGACTTAACAACCGAGCATATAAGCTGAGGGAGTAATTTGTTTTGATTGTGTTCCACTACACCAAGTTGCCCGACACTGATGAGACCCAATAAAGGTCGAAACAGCTGTCTGTCGGTATTTGAAGTTGGTGGAACGCATTCGAAACAAAAAACTTTGGCGAGGTGTAGGTTCAATTTTTTCTTATATTCTTATGAATATTACCAGTGATGGGTCAAGAAAGTTTCTTAAAGAAACTAAGAAAATTGAATGTTTACGATAATAAAGCATCTTGCGTACATAATTTTTCTATGAAACCAAACTGCTTATTAATAATTAAGTAATTTTTTTTCAAGTATGAGTACAGTTGATTACAATATGCCACAATTATTTGGCTTTATAATTTGTTCTTTTTCTCCCTTTTATAAATTTAACAAATTAGACAAAATTTCACTGATATAAGGCCCAATTTGACATAAGAGTGAGTACGGGATAGTGTAAAATTAAACGAAAATGTTAATAAAATAAAACAAAAGTTAAACAATTTAAATAAATAATCGAAAATACATATTATATACAATAAATCAAGTTATCTGTTTGTTAAATTAATCAAAAATATCATCCATCACTCAAGTAGTCAGTTAGTAAAATGGTTTTAATATTTGAACTACTATTATAAACAGTTTTGATATTGTCAATTTATACAGACTGTATATAATTAAGTAAGTAAGGCTGGAGAAAAGGATGACAAATCATATTCTGATCAGAGAAAAAGAAACAAACTTTAATTGGGCGTGGTTTAAACCAAGCCATTCGTGATTACGAACCATAGTTGGCAGGTTCTTTTAAATCAGAAAAGAACGATTATAATTATTTAATAAATTGTTCAATTTTATTTGTTTGAAACTTTAAAAATAACAAAAAAAATTACTAATATGTCAAAAATAATTTGATTTAGTTAATTTTCTTACTTTTAATATTAAAAAATAAGAAAAACAACCCTTTTAGGAAACAATAATAGCATATGGCAACAGCGCGGCATGCAGCCAGATACAAGGGCATGCAGTTTGATCTACTTTGTTCAGTAGCTCCGACGCTGTCGTAGGGAAATGTGTATAGTTTTTAAGAAATACATTTTCGCCATTAACTGGAATTTAATGGATTTTAAACAATACTTGGTTTTTATTTGCATTAAAACAAAACAAACGAATTCGATAAAAATAAAACCTATAAATTCTCAAACAAAAATAATTCTAAAATAACGAAAATAACTTTCAATCCCTACCACAGTGGGCGGGGTTTGGCACTTGTTTTATTTAAGTGTATCTATTCGTTTTAATACACACTGTATATTGTTTTCCCATTTCATATTAGTAATTAATTAATTAATAAATATCCAGTGCGAGCCAATAAAAAATAAGAGCCACGTGTTGCGAAACGCAGCCTGCTTGTCGTCCGCGTCACGTACGAGTCGCGTTGCACCGCGCGCCCCCCACAATCCGGCGCCCTTGGCACCGAAAACCTCGGTCGGTTTTGGCGACAACGATAAAATAAAACAGTCGAAGACTGCAGACGCACGCTTTGTCCGTATGAATTTTTTACAGGATTTAATATTAAAGTAGACGTCACCTCATTCCTCTGCCGTTGCAGGCGGCGGGAACGTGCACGTGCACCGGCCACGTTCGGTCGGGGGCGGTGAATTTTTTAATCTCGACCTCAGATGAACAACAGATTTAGGGGCAACGAGATGCTTTCGAGGAAAAGTCTTATGGTTTTATTTCATCGAATACGACAGCTTAGTAGGCTATATCTTTTTTGTTTTATTTTGCTTTTACATGTTATATTTTGTTTATAAACAGTTTATTTAAGTAAAAATTTATTATTACCAATTTATTATCATTATTGTAAAAATATTCATATATCACGAGAACTATGAATTTAATCGGTTAAACTAGGCTAAGTAGTTTTTTGTTTGGTTTTTGTTGGAAAATGTTGAATGCAAAATAATTAAATAAAATCACGAGACCGCGTAGCGGTCGAGGGGATTTATTTTTAATTATTTTGCATGAAACTATTTTCCAAAAAGAAAAATCAAATAAAAAACTTACTGAGCATAGTTTGACAGATTAAATTTATAGGTTGAGTGATATACGTCTAGATTATTTCTCGAATTAAAGGAAACTATTTGACAATTCATAAAATCTGACGTATGTGTCAAAATTTATAAATATTTTTTTAAAGAAAATTCCATTAATTTAAGGTATGTAATAAGTAATAATTGATATTTCGTAAACTAGATAACTTATTTATAATTGTTTTTTAAAAAATGTTTGTTAAAACTTGTAAATAACACCATAAAATCGTAAACAAAAATCCAATATGGAGGCTAAAATTTAATCGCTGTTACTAGTGATTTAATCGCTTATTTAAACGAAATTTATTCGAAAATTCAAGGCTTTTGATTGGTCCATATTATAATGAGGGACATAATCATATTAAATAAAATAGCGAAATTAAAACACTACTTAAGAATTAATAATTAATTACTAAATATTAATCCCGGCGCATTCGCCATTTTTTTCAACTTTCTAAAATTAAACATTTTTTATAGTAGTACCTACATACAAAAGTGTACCGGCCACGTACATTTTTTTTATAGATTTTAAAAACAGGTTTTTTAATATTACATTTTTATTCCCTAAAAAAAAATTTGAAAAATTCCACCTAATTCGTAAACAATCGCATTCGCCATTTTTTCAACTTTCTAAAATTAAACATTTTTTATAGTAGTACCTACATACAAAAGTGTACCGGCCACGTACATTTTTTTTATAGATTTTAAAAACAGGTTTTTTAATATTACATTTTTATTCCCTAAAAAAAAATTTGAAAAATTCCACCTAATTCGTAAACAATCGCAATCAAAAATTTACGCATCAATTTTTGATTGATTTATATTACGAAAACCAAGATAACTGTATATATTTTTTTATTTCATATCAAGTAAGTATTATTTAATATCAAATATTTATTTTAAATTTATATAACACAACCAGACAAAAAAACAAAAGTATCTGGGTATGTGACATAGGTTTTTTATCCGAAGTCAAAGTTCGCCCTGCACGTCTGAGTTTCAACCTAACCTCAAAAAACTAAAAAAAAAATTGTTTTTTTGTTCTACGGTTGAGGCATATCAATGTTTTTCAACGTGCCAAATACAAATTTGTTGTCAAAAATAATGTCCTTGAACCTTAACCTACTCTCTTAAAATGAAATAGTCAAAATTCTACTATTTGAATTAGTACCAGCATTTTTACTAATAAAATAGTAGTTTTCACTTTTAAATAAATATTTTTTACGTAAATAGTTCAAGTTTGACTAATTTAAGATTAGTCACCATCTTTGACTATTTCTGAGAGTTAAAAGTTACTAATTTCTTTA